TTTTTATTTTGGAAATTACGCTCTTTCCAATGATGTGCATATTGCCGGGGTTGGTCGCGAAATTAGGGGCAATACTTAGAAAGGGCCTCTTTGGGGCCCTCTTTGGGCCCCTTTCTTTGGATTCCCCGGTAGGTTTCTTCAGCCAGATTGAAGAGGGGGCCCAGGAGAGTGTCTGTGCAAATTTTGAAGAAAATCGTAGGGGCCGCCCCATTGGGCCCCAAATTTCAATTGGGTCCCGTGGGCCCCAGGTGGGCACCATCGAAAAATGTTACTTGGGTTTTTTGTTTTGGAAATTACGCTCTTTCCAATGATGTGCATATTGCCGGGGTTGGTCGCGAAATTAGGGGCAATACTTAGAAAGGGCCTCTTTGAGGCCCTCTTTGGCCCCTTCCTTTGGATTCCCCGGTAGGTTTCTTCAGCCAGATTGAAGAGGGGGCCCAGGAGAGTGTCTGTGCAAATTTTGAAGAAAATCGTAGGACCGCCCCATTGGGCCCCAAATTTCAATTGGGTCCCGTGGGCCCCAGGTGGGCCCCATCGAAAAATGTTACTTGGGTTTTTTGTTTGGGAAATTACGCTCTTTCCAATGATGTGCATATTGTTGGGGTTGGTCGCGAAATTAGGGGCAATACTTAGAAAGGGCCTCTTTGGGGCCCTCTTTGGGCCCCTTCCTTTGGATTACCTGGTAGGTTTCTTCAGCCAGGTTGAAGAGGGGGCCAGGAGAGTGTCTGTGCAAATTTTGAAGAAAATCGTAGGGGCCGCCCCATTGGGCCCCAAATTTCAATTGGGTCCCGTGGGCCCCAGGTGGGCCCCATCGAAAAATGTTACTTGTGTTTTTTGTTTAGGAAATTACGCTCTTTCCAATGATGTGCATATTGCCGGGGTTGGCCGCGAAATTAGGGACAATACATAGAAAGGGCCTCTTTGGGGCCCTCTTTGGGCCCCTTCCTTTGGATTCCCCGGTAGGTTTCTTCAGCCAGATTGAAGAGGGGCCCAGGAGAGTGTCTGTGCAAATTTTGAAGAAAATCGTAGGGGCCGCCCCATTGGGCCCCAAATTTCAATTGGGTCCCGTGGGCCCCAGGTGGGCCCCATCAAAAAATGTTACTTGGGTTTTTTGTTTGGGAAATTACACTCTTTCCAATGATGTGCATATTGCCGGGGTTGGTCGCGAAATTAGGGGCAATGCTTAGAAAGGGCCTCTTTGGAGCCCTCTTTGGGCCCCTTCCTTTGGATTCCCCGGTAGGTTTCTTCAGCCAGATTGAAGAGGGGGCCCAGGAGAGTGTCTGTGCAAATTTTGAAGAAAATCGTAGGGGCCGCCCCATTGGGCCCCAAATTTCAATTGGGTCCCGTGGGCTCCAGGTGGGCCCTATCGAAAAATGTTACTTGGGTTTTTTGTTTAGGAAATTACGCTCTTTCCAATGATCTGCATATTGCCGGGGTTGGTCGCGAAATTAGGGGCAATACTTAGAAAGGGCCTCTTTGGGACCCTCTTTGGGCCCCTTCCTTTGGTTTCCCCGGTAGGTTTCTTCAGCCAGATTGAAGAGGGGGCCCAGGAGAGTGTCTGTGCAAATTTTGAAGAAAATCGTAGGACCGCCCCATTGGGCCCCAAATTTCAATTGGGTCCCGTGGGCCCCAGGTGGGCCCCATCGAAAAATGTTACTTGGGTTTTTTGTTTGGGAAATTACGCTCTTTCCAATGATGTGCATATTGTTGGGGTTGGTCGCGAAATTAGGGGCAATACTTAGAAAGGGCCTCTTTGGGGCCCTCTTTGGGCCCCTTCCTTTGGATTCCCCGGTAGGTTTCTTCAGCCAGATTGAAGAGGGGGCCCAGGAGAGTGTCTGTGCAAATTTTGAAGAAAATCGAGGGGCCGCCCCATTAGGCCCCAAATTTGAATTGGGTCCCGTAGGCCCCAGGTGGGCCCTATTGAAAAATGTTACTTTGGTTTTTTATTTTGGAAATTACGCTCTTTCCAATGATGTGCATATTGCCGGGGTTGGTCGCGAAATTAGGGGCAATACTTAGAAAGGGCCTCTTTGGGGCCCTCTTTGGGCCCCTTTCTTTGGATTCCCCGGTAGGTTTCTTCAGCCAGATTGAAGAGGGGGCCCAGGAGAGTGTCTGTGCAAATTTTGAAGAAAATCGTAGGGGCCGCCCCATTGGGCCCCAAATTTCAATTGGGTCCCGTGGGCCCCAGGTGGGCACCATCGAAAAATGTTACTTGGGTTTTTTGTTTTGGAAATTACGCTCTTTCCAATGATGTGCATATTGCCGGGGTTGGTCGCGAAATTAGGGGCAATACTTAGAAAGGGCCTCTTTGAGGCCCTCTTTGGGCCCCTTCCTTTGGATTCCCCGGTAGGTTTCTTCAGCCAGATTGAATTGGGGGCCCAGGAGAGTGTCTGTGCAAATTTTGAAGAAAATCGTAGGGGCCGCCCCATTGGGCCCCAAATTTCAATTGGGTCCCGTGGGCCCCAGGTGGGCCCCATCGAAAAATGTTACTTGGGTTTTTTTTTGGGAAATTACGCTCTTTCCAATGATGTGCATATTGCTGGATTTTGTCGATGTTATAGGCCTGAAATTGTTGAAAGCGTTTATTTATGCCCCGAGGGCATATTCCCGGGCCCATACATTTGAAGCTGTTTTGTTCGGTTCAGGGGGGCGCTAGCCCCCTAAATTTGGTACCGTTGTACGTAAAATTTTGTCCTCTTTCGAATGACGTGCATTTTTAGCTGTTTTGACGGCTAGAAGTAGGGTTTTCAAAGTTCGTCGATTGTGCCCTGAGGGCATACTGTTTTTTTTATTTGTGGCCCCCCTGATGGATTCCCCGTATTTTGGCACTAGGATTTTCGATAGAGGACACCATTTGTTTTGGATAATGTACTTGCATTGCAGTGAAATGTAGAGCAAGACAGGGTCAAGATCAATCACGGACTCCTCAAAACAAAGTCAAATTTGTTGCTCATAAATGTTTTGGAAATTTTGAGTAAGGTAATTTAAGTCTATTTAAGTAATTTAAATTAAAGTGTTTTAGGTATTTATATACACTGTTATTCAAGTATGTTTTCCAGCATACAGTGAGCTTAACATTCATACATGTTTATGTCTTGCACATTAGCTTTCTTTGTAAGTAATTATCCTCTTGGTATTGGAATTTGCTAGCACTGATAAGTTGCCATTTAACAATGGTAGACTGATGTGTTTGGTATTACAGTTAACGTGTTTGCCGATTTGTTAGGACATCATGCAATTGGGAGAAATGTGTCATGCTTGCCATTTTTTCTTCATCCAATGTCATTTAGCAAATCAAATTTGAGTTCAGGTTTTTCAAAAATGCTTCAAATCTTTTATGGTAGTAGTTAATTATTATAATACCGACAAAACCAAATGCTTTTGGTATATATACCGAATACCAAATCGGTATTGGTTCGGTATCGGTATACCGAAATTTTGGTAACCGATTGACACCACTAACTTTTACAATATAGACGATTGGGGAATTCGACCTTATCGACATGGTACAACGAAGTCATCTGATCTGCCTGCCATTTAAACCATAGTAAAACTGGTATTTAAACGCTGCGAAAAAGCTTACGTATAACGTAGTTCCGATGGGTCGCTCCGATTTTCTTCCGATCGAGAGAAGTTTCATACCGAGAGAAGTATCGCAGCCACGTCCGATATAACTTACGATAGCACGGATCCCCCAGCCTCATTTCTTACCTCATCTCTTACCTTTTTTCATCTTGCCGTTATTCGCGGGAAGGGGCGAAATATGTTTCTTGTATGATGTATCATTACCAAACAAAGCAAGTTGTTCAACGCAAATTCGGTGAGTGTTCTAGTCCATGCGCACATTCTGTCAATGAAAAATTGCCGGGTCAGGTCAGGTCAGGCCCCAGAGGAAGTTTGTTAACTTCACACGTCGATCGATAGGTATTCAATAAAACCTTTTCGGGTGAAGACAGACCTGACAACGCTTTTATCAAGCTCACAGACACTGGCGGATCCAGAGGGGAGGGGGGGGGGGCAACCGGGTCAAAGTCCCGGTCGTCGTCCCCCTGGGGGCGGCCAAAACATGATTTCCCCCTTTTCCAAATCGAATCCTTCCCTTCAGAATATTCACTGGACCACAATTCACAAAAGATGACGACATGCATGCAAGATGAGTCAATACATTCTCATTCCTTATCCCAATTAGCCGATTATATCAAAATGGGGATTTTTTCATTGTTGACCATCGGAGACCAATGACTTCTTGGCCGGCTTTGGCCCCTCCCTTTAAAAACGGCCGGATTAGCTAGTGGCACAGACTTTTTAAGATAGTGAACATACGGTAGCTTCTCTATGCTATTGAATCATGCTGCTGATTCTAGTTGGTATCTACTACGCTACCTTTTCACATTCATTTTCTTGATGCGTTTTTTTTTTTGGGTGGGGGGGTCAAAATATATGTTGCCCCCTTACAGGCTTTTGGGGGGCTTTGGCCCCGTAACCTTTCCCCCTGGAACCGCCAGTGTGCATTTATTCATTCTTCGCACGTGAATTTTTATTTAATAAATTGGAAACTGAATAAGTGAACTAGTTAAACCAATAACTATTCAACTAATTACTATTTCAGCAAATAAGTAATAAGCAATTATTATTTTATTTTGACCACTCGAATATCGGTCGGACGTTGCCGTCAGCAATACACGTTTACCGCCGTCGCCGTATTTCACCCGATCTCGCAACATATTTTGTTTTGGTCGTCGTTCGGTGTAATACGTATTCCTTCAAAGACACGCTAGTAGCCTATTGGAACCGAAATTGAATGTTTTTTCCAATAAGGGGTCTCTCATTATCGTAGGACTGTTGTAGGACATACTGTTTTGGAGATAAAGACAATATTAGTTAGGGGACTCGCTTTCTTTGCAACACCCTGTATAAGTTTGACTCGCTGACGGCTGTGTAGGTATGATGTATACTACAGTCAATAATTTTGTTTGACTAGGTGTGTGCTATGTCCCCAGATTTGTCAGCTGCCGGTTATTCGACCAGGGACGATGGCCCGCTCGGCTCGCCGCCGCACGACACGGCAGAGGCGCAGGTCAGTAGAGGTCTGCACCGGCCGGCTGCAGCCGCGGCTGGCTGCAGCCCCACGGCTGTTGGCCGGGGCGGCTGCAAATATCTCCAAGAACACGGCTACGGCTGTGGCCACGGCTGTGAGATTTCAAGCTCAATCTAAAGTATAGTCGACTACAGAATGATGTTCCACTCCTCAGAAGCTATCAGTTGACCGGAGCGCTAAGTTGTGCCGTTTATTACGCAATTAACCGTGTCGATTGTAAGCATTGGGACAAAACTATAGTTGTGAACTCAGCCCGTGTGATGCGGCACAGCCTACCACTTCAGGCAAATAATTGCATGTGAAAAGTGGGACATCATTTTGTAGTCGACTATACTCAAATATAAAATTTTAAATCCTTAATCTTACATTCTGATAAGCAGTCTAGCCTGTAAAATCATGCAAAGAATGCCTAGCAACATTGAAAGTGGTGAAGCCTTTGAAAACCTTTAATGGTTTTATCATTTGCCGTAGCCGTAGGGGAGTTTGCGCTCCGGTACAGAATACTAATTATAGGTACCAATTGTTCCTTCATCATCAAGAGCTTGACAGTTTCAGAAAATGCAACATGTTGCATTGTCACATCCCTCTCAAATCATCTCACCTGGTCATTAGGAGAGCACCTTATAGCTATTGAAGACAAGCGTTCAATAATTCTTTCAGGTAATAGAAAAGAAATAAACCTAGGTAAAGGCAGGTAAAGACTTCATAAAATATTTTCTAAAATAACTCTTTTTCTGGATTTTCGGCAAGTCCAATTACATAATATAAAACTGCCGCTTTATGTTCTAACTGGTATGTGAGTGACCGCTAACAGAAAATGCTGATCAACGAAGCCAATGGAATTAGATTATAAGGGAGATAAACCGTACTTACGGTTAATTCACATGACGGTGAAAACCCGGAACACGATATTTCTTACGCGAGCTGTTGACTTTACTAATAAAATGACGTCTTTTTCTGAAATTGTAAAAATTTGATACTGAATCTTTGTTTGAGAGCAAGTTTTTAACTGTTTAGCCTCATTATTTATTAATTATAATTTCTATGGCTGTTTGTAGAGACACAATTTTTTGCCACTTCTTTGCTATTGACGTCATTAAAAACTCAAATAAAATTTTTGATTGAAAGAGGCAATTGTGGCTCGCACGTCCTTGGTGATTTGAGCGAAGATTGAAGAAAAATGAAAATCAAATTGGAAAAATCAAAATAGATGAATGTTTTTCTTTCTTGGATGCTCACTAGTGTTTTGATGCCTTGCATATCAAATTAGTTGAGACTTGCTCAGAAGGCTGCTTCAAGCCTGGCATAACACCCCCAGAAAATATGCAAGGTAAGAAAGAAGCAAGAGTTTGACTAGACAATCACTGTTTGACAGTCCATCAACTTCAGTTTCATTTTCCATAACATTGATAATGAAAAGCATCAGGGTCTGTTGTTCTTGTTCTGTCCCACAACCCAGGTTTTGGCATTAGATGTCTACACTGTCTGCTGGTGCTTCTATTCTGGTTCGTTGTTTATGTTTTCTGTTGATGTAGGTACCTACCTACCCATCTTCTTAACCCCTTGCAAGGGCTTGTGTAGGCATGCGTTGCGCATCAGGCTTTCGGCCTGAAGCCAGATACACAACCACTTAACCCGCGCCCCGTAGGGCTACCGGCGGACCCTACCACCGGTAAGGGGGGGGGGCGTTTCGGCCCCCCCCTAAGATCTCGGAAATTTACTGGACGATTTTCAAAATTCAAACGGTGTTCGATAGCCCTACCCGGGAACTACCTCGTGACCAAATTTCATTGACCTAGGTCAAACCGATGACGTCACAGGTCAGGTCGAAGGTCGGATTTTCACCGTTCACAGGCATTTCAAGAATGTGTTGTGAAATTGAGTAAATTGGTTTTTATTGAAAACCATTGATGGTACATTGTTCATCAAACACATACTTTGCTATCTGAGGTCACTGATACCAGGTCAGGTCACAGCGAGGTCAGGTCACCGGGGGTCACAATATGAAAGTGTCGTGTGATGCATGTTTTATGATCCATTTTACATGAAAGTGCGATTATATGGGTTAGGCAGCCTTTGGGGCCAGCCTAGGTGACGTTTTGGTGATGGTCAGGTCAAGGTCAGGTCAAATTAGGTCAAATTTCAAAGTTGATATTTTTGCATAAAATGGGTACCGATTCGATGCGCTCGTCACGGGGAGTCTAATGGTGGTCTTTTTTGCTCTACGAGGTCTAGAATTGCCCAAAATTGAGTTTGAAAATTTGACGTCATCATTTGTGAACAGTTTTTTCGCTATAACTTGGCCAAAAAACGAGCTATTGATCTGAAATTTGGTATGTAGATAGAATACGGTAGGTACTATCACATATATTCCGTTTTTTTCGAAACTCAAAAACTTTTATGCTTTTTTGGCTAATATATCCAAAAATATACTTTTTTGATTTTGGGGGGTCAAAACTCAAAAATTTCAAGAATCCGAGATAGCAGTTTTGTAGCCCTGTCAATTCTACACCTTTTATGTTTTGATCATTTTTCAGTATCTTCAAAGCTGTAGCCCTGACAGGTCTTCGCGCGAAGGTCTTTTTTGGGTCGAAAATGACAGAACATGATGTCATTCTGACGTCATTTGTGGCCAACCTATCATAGCCTCTGGTAAAAAAAATTGGTCACAATGTATAAAATTGATTCCACGTTCATTCCACGCCATTCCACGTTCTGCTGCAGCATCTCGCTGGCTAGCCGCGCCTGATTCCAGCTTTGGAGGCATCTTCTGAGCTCACGTTCAGCTCCTCTCATGGCAGTTCCGTTATCCGAGTAGATAACGCGAGGGAGTCCCCTTCTTGCCATCATGCGTCTCAGACACATGATGAGGGAGTCGGTGTCTATAGAGTGAGACATTTCTAGATGCACAGCTCTTATGCTGAGACAGGTAAATATGCAGCCATATCTTCTCCTCTCTTCCATCTTTCTTCACCAGGATTGGTCCGAAAAAGTCTAGTCCGACGGCCGCAAAGAAAGGACTGGTAGAGTCGACACGTGCTGAGGGTAGGTCGCTCATCAGAGGTGGCTGTGGAGTTGCTCGTGCTCGTGCTCGTGCACAACCAGGACACTTGAAAGTGTAAGCTCTGACGGCAGCTCGTCCTCTCAGAATCCAGTGCGTCTGCCGTATTTGACTCAGTACGTGATTCGCACCGGCGTGGGCGAGAGTTCGATGCCGATCAGTCACAATCAATCTTTTTTTTAACGTTCATTCAATATAAGCACATCATACATAGGGCACTCACGGCAGGCTGGGTAACGAGGCTGATCTCACGTGATCAGAGATCTCCCGAACCATGCTCTCGCCAGCAAGTATTCGTCGCCAACTTTGCCACGGATTCAGCTCTTTTTTTTACATACGGTTCACAAGGTGCAACATTCAAGCTCCAACACGGAGTTACAAGCTATAAGGTGTAACATTTTTCAGATCTATGTAGCAGCTCATCACCTTCATGTGTCACTACACAATAGCACCTATATACAATCCATTAGTCAGCAGCAGATTGAGTGTAGTTAACTGAGCGCAATCAAACAAACTGCCAGCGAACACGGTTGGGGACAGTAAAGAGAATCCCTAGGAATTCTGCCCCGCCCCGCATCGCCCCGCGTAATGCATACTCGTCTTCGCTGGGGCGATGCCCCAGCTTGGAAGTCAGTCACAATCAATCTTGTTATCTCGTGTCTGGAGGGCAGGATCACCTGATGCTGCGCTTCGTATGATACGGCGGTCGCGTGGCGCAGTCGACCCCCAACACGGATCAAGCCGCTGCTGTCCATGAAGGAGTTCAGCGACAGAAGCTTGCTGTCACTAGCCACTTTCTCTCCTTTCTGTATCGCGTTCACTTCTCTAGGGAATGCCTCTCTTTGTACATTCCGACACCAGTGGATTTCGGCCTCACGGAGCTCCTCGGGTGTCAACGGCCCACCATTTCGCTCTGATTGTGCTCTCCGACTGTTGAACAGAAACCTACGTAGCCAGGCCGTAACTCGTAACAGCCTGCGCCAGTCTGAAAATCGCGCTAGATCGATGACGTGCTCTTCACCTGTCGTCGAGATGCAGAGTCGAACTTCGCGGCGCTCTTCTGTATGCGCCGTGTTCTCTTCCTGGTTTGCAGGTTGTTCACTTGGCCACTGTGTCTGGATGGCTCAGAAACTCAGGACCGTGGATCCATCTGTCGTTGTCCAGTAGTTCCATCAGACCACACCCTCGGGAGCAGACGTCGGTGGGGTTGATGACTCCTGGTACGTGTCTCCAGGAGCGGCAGTCTGATTCATCTTGAATTTCATCGATACGGTTCGTTACGAAGTTTTGATAGCGGCGACTTTCGTTTTTTATCCAGTCTGTACGCGAATCCGACCAAAAGTGAGTTGAATGAATCTCGATGTCATGCTCTCGTTTGATGGAGACTGCAGCGCGTACAGCCATTACAGCCGCTTGTAGCTCTAGTCGTGGAACGCTGAGCTGGCGCAGGGGTGCCACGCGATTCTTAGCCAGAACGAGAGCGCAGCTAATGTGGCCATCTTCATACGTGTACCGTAAGTATGATACTACACCGAAAGCGACTTCGGAAGCATCTCCAAAGATGTGAAGCTGGCAGTTCACTGGGGCACTGTGCCACTGGCTGTAGCAGCGCGCTACTCTGAAGTCGCTCAGCGTCTCTAGATCAGCTGTCCACTTCTCCCACGCATCCTTCAGCCTTTGATCCTTGATTTCTTCATCCCAGCTGAAGCCAGCTTTCCATATACTCTGGAGAAGACATCTTTTCAGGAAGAACCCACGGGGCCAGCATGGCCAGAGGGTCAAAAACCGATGATACCCGACTCAGGATGTCCCTCTTTGTGGCCAGCTGGGTGAAGGCAGTGGCTTTGAAGGTGAACATGTCAACTGTGGTGTCCCAATACACCCCCAGTGCGCGTTCCCACTTTTGGCCATCTTTGCT